GAAGGTGAACAGGCAGGAGGACAGAATCTCAATCTGTTACTTTGTGTTTCCAGAGCATGAGAGTTTGATTCAAAGTTCAAACTACAAAGCTTTTACTTACAATGACTACCGTGTGCAATCACAAAGAGATATGGAGACAATGGGATTTAAAGTTGAGCTTCAAAGGTTCAGGATTATTAGTAATTAAGGCTGGCTCTCTGAGCATTTGCTAATAATCTCTGTCCTTGTAATATGATAATTATTGTAGAACTTTGATCAGATAAACTGCTTTGTTTTGTTGTGTCACGGTGAAAGATCATTTGTCTTTGACCAAACAAGAATATGAATTTAATATTAGGCAAATTAAGGAAACTAGCCACTCTACTTCATTTAAAGGTTGACAATCACTCTCTCAACCTTTTTTACTGGAAAATAATTCTTTTTAGTTACTAATTTGGACATATTAGCTCTTATTTAACGAATGGTATTATCAATCCATTGCATGTTTGTTTGGTTTTCTTGATCATTACCATATCAATCTACCTCATTATTATTATTATTATTTTTGACCTGGAGGTGGCAATGATCAAGAAGACCAAACGAACATGTGATGACTTTATGAAGTCTGATGACATAATTTGTGAAATAAGGATCAATTTACCATATTAACAACTAGAGGGGGTTAATATTAGTTTAATTGGTTAGCTGCTAACATTAGAATTTAAAAATTAACATACATGAAATTTAAAATATCAGGATATACCCATTAAAATAGGAATAAAAAGAATAAATCTCTACTAAAAAGAAACTAGAGTTTACTTAAATTAACACTTGAGACAACTATTATATTACTACTAAAAAATTTTTACCTTGGATCATGAATCAAAATTACTTATTAAAGAGTCATGCTTCTTTAAGATAAAAATCACTAAATCTTCTTGAATGGTTTTTTTATTTTCACACTTCTAATCATTTATGTCAATATTGTATTTTTTTCGCAATGCAATCATGTATAAGAGTTGCGGTCACCAGTTATTTATTCTTCAAAGCATAATCTTTGATAGAACGGTTGTAAATCATCAAGTAAGAAAATGATTCACCCATTTCTTTTTTCTTTTTTTTTTTTCCCTCTTTTTAATGTTCATATGGTATTCTTATATTAGCTCCTATTTGGATTTCTTCTAAAGCACAGTGCCAATGCCACCATGTGTTTGGCTCATTGGATTCGAGTCCTGTCCCCCACCCATAGGGAATGGTTGGGTGTGATCAAGTTAGAAAAATATAGTAACTGTTTCATTAAAAAAATTATTATTAGGTTGGAAAAGCTAATGGAAGTTAGTTTTTTTTTTTTTTTGTTTATCATAGTATATTGGAGTATTAATGAAATCATAACGTAGAAACAAAAAAAAGAAAAAAAGAAAAAAAAGAAAAAACGTAGAGAGAATGACAAATTTCATCCTTGCGTAAAAGAATTCTAGAGGAATATATACATATATGATACATGCCAACGGTAGCCGATTTCCTGCTGCATTTGGAGCGCTAGAAAGTTTTTCTAGAAAAATGACAAAAAACCACCAAAACTTTTGGTGAGGTGTAGTTAGTCCCCAAACTTTAATATCTTTTCATATAACTCCTTGCAATTCTATCCCACACAATTGACTCCGGGCGTACCTGTAAAGTCTTTTAATTGAAGAAAGTAGCTGTAAAGTTGAGGAAAAAGAAAACCGGCAATCCATATAATAAATATATTAGTAGGTAATTTTAGAAATATATTAATATTTTTACTTAAAAAAGTTGCTTCTTATTTTGTGATAAAATATTATTATGGTTGCCTCTATAACTTTTTAAAAAATAAATTAAAAATTTGTATCTTAATTAAAAGATCATATTTTATAATTTAAAGTATATACAACTGTAAAATATGAATTATGAAGTATCAAATTAGGCAAACTACCCTTACTTTCAGAAGATGAGGCAGAAAGAAAGATATATCAAAGTCTCAAAGTTGTATACAATTAAAAGCAAATGTCTTGGTCCATAGCATTGGGTACATGGGGCAGTGACTCATTCAGTGGAGTAGATGCTGGCTTAGAAACATCCAAATATGTCACGTGAAAAATGAATGTTTCCATTCCAGTGATTCCACCCCTGGTCCTTGTCCCGCCACATTTTGCTCCAACTTACCTAAAACTTCTCCGTTTCCCATTTTTCTCCAACATTTCACTAAACCCATGCGTGAAAGAATGAAAGAAAAAAGCGGTAAGCATGACAGTAAATGAGTTCCTCCTCCATGAAGGTTCGTTGTCACCTTACAATCCATTTTCGAACTTTGTTAAACGCATCTAATTAATCTAATTCCTTATATCACCTCTTCAATCCTCTGCTCCCTCATCGCCATTGCTCATCTCTACCTTTCCCATTCGGGGAACAACTTGCCACAAACTCTGACTTTCCGCCTTTTAGGTACGCCATGCGTCTGAGACTTGTTCAACTGTTTTCGGATCTGTTTGTTTGTTTGATGCGGAGAAATGTCAAGTTGGAACAAATTCTTGAATGAAATATGTAGTTACTAATTAATCTTTCACTTTCTTGATTTATTTATTTACATCCATGCATGAGCCTTTTTTTTTTTTTTTTTTGATTCCCCTCTACTCCTTAGCTTCTGTTGCATGCATAGACTAAGAACAAACAATGAGTCACCCTTCAATAAAGCAGTCATCTGCTCAAGTAATGGAAAGAAAGGGAGAGCAGATTCATGGGATTCATGGGATCCACAGTCAAGAAGATTTTGACCCAAGTGCACCCCCACCTTTCAGGATAGCAGAGATTTGAGCTGCCATTCCCAAGCATTGTTGGATCAAGAATCCATGGAGGTCTATGAGTTATGTTTTCAGAGACGTCCTTGTTGTTTTTACATTGGTAACAGTTGCACTCTATTTCAATAGTTGGTACTTTTGGTCACTCTATTGGGTTGCCCAGGGTACAATGTTCTGGGCTCTGTTTGTCCTCGGACATGATTGGTAATCACATTTATACTACCACTGCATTGTCTTAAATTTTCCTTGATTCATTATTTTCTGTAATCTGTGCTGTGAAATAAATGTGTTGGATTTTTAATTTTACAGTAGTCATGGAAGCTTTTCTGATAATCCCACATTGAATACTGTAGTGGGGCATATCTTACATTCTTCAATTCTTGTACCTTATCATGGATGGTAAGTTCTAATTCTATTTTCATTTATCCTTCAATTTCTTCTAGTCAGGTTAAATAACATAACATTATACTGAAATATTTCAGGAGGATAAGTCACAGGACTCACCATAAGAACCATGGAAATATAGAAAAGGACGAGTCATGGGTTCCGGTCAATTATTTATGGACATATTCAAAGGTGCCACTGCTACAAATCCAAATCTGGTTTTTTTTTTTTTTTTTTTTTTTTGGTTTTCCTTTGCTTTCAGCTGCCTGAGAAAATCTACAAGAGTTTGGAAATTAAAACTCGAATTCTAAGATTCACTTTGCCCTTCCCGTTGTTTGCATACCCTCTATATCTTGTAAGATTGTTGTTTCAATTGGACTTTCACTTTAGATTAAAGATTATTATGCTTCCAATAGTATATGAAGCTTAATTTGTTTTTTTCATTGTACTAGTGGTACGGAAGTCCAGGCAAGGAAGGATCACACTTCAACCCTTATAGTGACTTGTTCTCCCCCAACGAAAGGAAACTTGTGATGACCTCAACTGCTTGTTGGGTAGTAATTACTTTTCTGCTTTCATATTTGTGCTTCCTGTTAGACCCAGTCCAGATGCTTAAGCTCTATGGTGTCCCTCATTTGGTCAGTTAAATTGTTCTTTTACCATCCAACTTTGTGGAACCTCATTAATATTGTTTCTTTGATGTTAATGTCCTCCCTGGCCTTGGATTTCAGATTTTCATAGCATGGTTGGATGGTGTCACTTACTTGCATCATCATGGCTATGAGCGGAAGCTTCCCTGGTACAGGGGTAAGGTAATTAACAAATGAACTTGAACTGTATGCTGCCAATCCAAACAATTTATAGCAGATTTTGGCATTTGAATCTAATTTTATAAACTCAAAGGCCTTGTTGCTCTACTGACAAGAATGGAGCTACCTGCGAGGAGGGCTTACAACAGTAGACCGTGATTATCGCCTGTTCAATAACATCCACCATGACATTGGCACTAATGTCATACACCATCTCTTCCCTCAAATCCCACACAATCGCCTAGTAGAAGCGGTATGTTATAAATTTCATGAAATAGAATAAATATAGATTTATTTTGGAGTTAGTTATGAAGTTACAATGAGCTGATAATGAATACGCCTCCATTGCAGACTAAGGCAGCTAAAGCAGTGCTCGGAAAGTACTATAGGGAGCCAAAAAAAATCAGGGTCTATTCCTTTTCATTTACTCAAGATTCTGCTGAGAAGCCTTAGCGAAGATCATTTTGTGAGTGACACTGGAGAGATTGTTTATTATCAAACCGATGAGACCCTATATAACTTCTACAAGACCAAGTCTTCCTGATTGTTTCCTAGCAAATAGCAGCGGCAGCATCTTCATTTGTTTCAGAGTTGAGAAATATAAATGTTATATGCATGAACTTTGACAGCTAGAGTAGTAGGAAGGAAGACTTTAAACATTGTTTTGTAATAAATTTTGTCCAAAATATTTTAACTAGACATAAATTTTTGTTTCTGAGAATTTTACTGGAGGAACAGGGCAGTGAAAATTTTCATCTTTACTCCCTTCTTTTATTTATTTATTGGTAAATATCTTTACACCCTTCTTTAGTTGATAACATTGTTGCAAGTAGTGTAATTGAGCCTGAATCAGAAAAATCAAAGCTGCAAATACTGCATATTTTGGTGATGAGATTGTTGATGGCCTAATTATGGTTGTGGGATGCACGGTTTTGAAACCCGAACCGGTAAGAGAATCAGTTTGCTCACTGGTTTTTGGTTTGGGTGGTTTGATCGATTCAATTAGTTAACTAGCCAGGTCAAATGACGAAAGCCATAAAATGCAATTTTTAGTTCTGGACATTTCCGGTATTAGTTTGCTGTTGCCTTCACATTTTTTTTTGTCTTGTAATTTCTGCCCTTATATAGCAATTTTCAGTTTAAATTACATTTAATAGATATATAAATTCACGTAATAATATCAAAAATAAGTTTCAAAACCAATTGGGAAGGCATACAAATCTTATCTTCTATGCCGATTGAGCATGCCAAGGAGAAGAATGATGACAAAGGATCGAAAGAGAAATGGCTGTTTATTACATCAATTTAGAACCGATGCACGACTGGAGCACGAAGGAAACAAGTGCACTACTAGAAACAGAGCTGATAAGAGAGCACTACTGGAAACGGAGCTGGTCGAGGAGAACTATTGGAAACGGAGTTGGTCGGAGAGCACGACTGGAACAATCGAACAAGTGCTAGGTGGCAAGAAACGAAGCTGAGGGCACTGGAGGTGATGGAGACTGGAAATGGAGCTGGTTGGGGAGCAGGACTGGAACAGCCAAACAAGTGCCATGGGGCAAGAAACAATGTTGGTGGCGTCGGAGGTGATGGAGACTGGAAACAGAGCTGGTCGGAGAGCAGGCACAATGGAGGACCAGAGCCGAAGGTGATGGAGTTTGGAGAAGTGGAATTGGAGAAGAAGAAAGTTGAAAGAGTCAAGTAGGAAGCTTAGGGTTTCTGATTTTAGTAATTTATGTTCAGATTTTGTGTTTTTAGCTTGAAATTGTAATGGGTTAAAGAGCAAAAAGGATAACATTGAAAAAAATTGGAGACAAAATAGACTAATTAGTAAAAAATATGAAAAATAAAGGAAGGCAAAGAATAGTGAAATTGACTCGGTGGGCTGACTGGTTCTTTTAGGTGGAACGGGTTTCATAGGTCCATTGGGTTTGGACGATCTAATCGCCCAAACGGGTATGAGTATCCAACTGGCTCATTTTACCCACTGGGTGGCGATCATACCAACTAGTTCGATTTGGCTCTGAAAACATTGGTGGGGCGGGATGTTGATTAAAAAATGGGCCTTTACGTGAGGTTGAGAGTATACTAGTATTCAATAAAGTCCAGGAAGTTCAGCCCAATAGAGTAACTAGTCCTGACTAAACTGAAAATTGACCCAATCCCCCTATCTTCTAAAGCCCAAACTATGTGGGCTGAAATTCTATTCTTAGACTACTCAAATAATTGTCTTATAAAGCCTAAGTAAGTGAACTGAAAATACTTAATTTTTTATTTAAATTCCTCTAAAATACCCCTTCCCCATGCCCACTCCTCCTCAAGTAGTCTACTAGTTTCAATTTAATAAGTATTCATCTTGAACTGTTTGGTTTTAGTGGGTTGTTTTTTACGGGTTACTGGTATTTGTAGTTAGTTTCGTGAAATTAAACTATAATGGTAAGTGGTTTTCATTAACTAAAATACATGTCAAACACATAGCATGGGTTGATGCGTGAAACGTTAAGTTAAGTTTTAATGGATTGATGACATCAGGCTACATAGAGAAGCTGATTTGCCACCAAAGACAAGTTGAAGGGTTCTTTTGCATGTGAACTGACTTGAGGGACTGATCTACCACCACATGATGAGTTGAGGGGCTAATCTGCATGTTTTGCTTCGGCAGATTCAATCGGTAAGGAGCAAGTTTGGGTGAACCTACCAAGTGAACTAGGTTTTTTGTTTTTTAAACATGAGGTGGGACTTGAATCTCATATCACTACTAAGATAAAACTATCATTTACAACATATAAATGACTACTTGGGCCACAAGGACTTTTCACTAACTAGGCTAATTTGAAATCACATAAAGTGTCGAAAGACAACATCTTTCTACTTCAAATGTCTACCATCTCTCTTTTATCTCACTGACAAACTCTTTCAGTCTCAATTTTCCCCAAGTCTTATCACCACCATTCACTAAGGATTAATTGGGAAAAAGAAAAGGAATTAAGTAGTAATTAACTCAGTCTTTAACTTTATATTGAGATTTCAATTTGGTCCTAAACTTTTTTTTCATGCCAAATTGCCAATTGAGTTTCAAATCTTTTAAATTATTTTCAATAAAGTCTTTTTATGTGTAGAAAATAATGCAAAAAAGAAAAGAAAAGAA